TCCAGCTTGTAAGTACCTAAATATAAATAAAATACGGTTACCAGTAAAAGATTTTGCAATTATTTATATTTATATTTATTTATATTCCGGAATACATTTCTGGTCTCCCAGAAATGAAATCTACTAGGATTTCTTTCTGCCTCTGATTTATTGGGTTGCTTTTACCACCACCTTTTTTTATATTTTCCATTACAAAAGAGCAAAAGACACTTATCTAACAAACTAATAAATATTTGATATTATGTTTGTAGGTTATGTATTCAGTATTCACTCGTTAGTTGCTAGTTCACAGTCCACTTCAATACCAACCACATACCATAGAGTGCTATGGAATGTGGAATAACCCAAAATAAATGTCTATCTGTCAAATAATATATAAATTTGATTGGTTAGAAGATGTGGCAACCTTGTTTCATTCCTACTTCCTTCGACTTCCTTCCTCGAGTTTCGTGAATACCAATTTTGTCTACTAATAGAACAGTAATAGAATGAAAGTTGGGAACGTTCCCCAGGGAATGTTTTATTCTATCGGTGTCAAGAATAGGGGTCCAGGCCAAGGTATTAGTCCATAGCATCGGATCTACTTGTTCGGAAAGTGAACGTCAAGCCAGTTTTTCACTATCGTGGAAAGCGCAGGGCATCCGTCTTGTTGAAATATTAGTTTTCTTCTGAACTCTAAATTTTTGCTAAAACAAAATTATTGAGAATTTCCAAACGAATTTTTATTAAGATTTTCTTCAAAAATGTAAGAACCAATTATTTTATGATACAGTCTGCCACACCATACATTTACTTTTTTAAACTTTTTATTATTAGGTATCAATCGAAAATTTAGATTATCTTTAGCCCGGTATCTAGAATTTTGAGAGGAAACTAGGCCAATATGTAGCTGTAAACATTGATTCATCAGTAAATAAAATAATGTGATGAAAGAATCTGTTTTAACATTGGTTTGAATTGAAGATTTTGTTGAATACTAAAATTTTTTGAACATGAGGTTTGCTAATATCTATATTTTCTGTCCTTTTCCTGAGTGATATCTTTAAATTGTCTTGTACATAACTACAACAGTAACAGTATCGTTATCATTGTATTACTTTTTCATCTTTTTAATATTCTTTACATCACCAGTGGTATTGATTTTTATAATTAGCTTGCGAACTGCTCTACGAGTTACAGTTACATTTGGATACTTTTCATTAAAAATTTGTATCATATCGATGAAACATTACCGATTCTATAATATTTCACAAGATAAATCCGTTGCTCCAGATTAGCATTATTAATAAAAATTATTAGGTGGGCACTTAATAAAAATAAATATGTTGACATTGACATTGATCAGGAAGTTATCCATGGTAATTATATGGTGTGTAAGATAGTTAAAAATTGCAGCGTCTTTTTATTTGCAAAATGTGATTATTGTTCTGACTAAATACCTTCTCTATGCAGATGATGCTAAAATATATTCCAGAATAAATAACATTGATGATTGCATCTTACTTCAGGATAGTTTGAATTTGCTGAATGTGTGATGTCAGGAAAATAAACTTCCGTTAAACATAAGTAAATGTACAGTTATGTCTTATTGTCGTAAAAAAGAAATTCCGAAATTTCCCTATAACATTTCTAACACGGTATTGACGAGACCTG